TTCATCATTACCGCCACCGGATTTCTGGTTACTTGGTGATTTTAATGCCCACCATTTCCTCTGGGGGGGGGGTCTTACTGTGATTCCCCGTGGCATTCAGTTAGAGGCTTTTTCTTGCCACCCACCCACTCCATGTTTAAATACAGGTACTAGGACTCACACCCATTTTGATCCTCGACTCAACTCTCTCCTTGCATCGATCGTCTCAGTCTGCTCTTCCTCCACCGCATTAGACTTCACTTGGTCTGTTCTCCCAGACATACATGACAGTGGATCATTTCCCCAATCATTCCTTACTTCCTTCCCCTTACATATTCACCACCTCTTCGCATCCCACGCTGGCAAGTTTGATCAGGCAAATTGAACCACCTTTACTCTCACCTAACTGTTTTTAGAGAGGGTCCTTCTTCGTCCACCATCGATGAGCTTTTACAACCTCTTCCTCGTCTCCGTTTTAACAGCTTCTCATTCTATACCCAAAACTTCGGGCAGGCATTCTCCAGAAATGCATGCCTGTGGTCTCCCTGCTTGTGCTCGTACAGTACGTTTGCAACGCGCTGCATGGGGCGTACTCAGTACAATAAGAACCACAGAGAGACTTCTTTATTTAAGCAGAGCGTGCCATCGCTCGCCGTGTCATCCCATGCCGCTAAACGCACTTGCTGGCGAGATTATGTCTCCCACCATCACCTCTACTTCCTCGATGAGTGCAGTCTGGAAAAAAGTAATGAAACTGAGTGGTAAATATTCCTCATGACCCATCTCCTGTTCTGCGGGTTTGCCGGTGTTGAAATCGCAAACCCACTAATGTTGCCAATGGAAATTGGCATCATCTGGTCCGTATTTCTCCGGGACTCCATCTATCCCATCATTTCTTTCCTCAAAGTCTCAGAGGTTAGCACCCTTGGCTTTTTTCTTTCTCTCAGAGAAGACAGTATAATGTGCCTTTTTAAACTTCAAGAACTGGAGGGCAACACTCTCAGCTTGCCGATCATCGCAGCTGGGCCCGACGACATTCATATTCGTATGCTACAACATTTAATCAGTCAGCCCTTGCAGTCCAATTACGCCTTTACAATCTTTATTGGTTCACAAGGAGTTCTTCCACAGCTGTGGAAATCGCCATTGTTCTCCCTTCCGCAAACCAGGCACTATCGGGACATGAAACCTCCCACTATCATCCCATTGCTCTTATCAGTGCATTTGCAAAAGTAATGGAACGCCTAGTAAATAGACATTTAGTGTGGAATTTAGAGACACACAACAGTCCTCTCCACTCGTCATATGGCTTTCGTAAGGGACGTCTACCATAGACCCCCTACTACTCATGGATTACATATGTTTCCGTAATACCTTTGCGAATAACCACTCCAGTTATGCCATATTTTGACCTTGAGAAGGCAAATGACACATCTTGAGGTATAATATTTAGCCCAAGCCCACTCCTAGGCCCTTCGAGGCAATCTACCATCCTTCCTTAAAGAACTTTAACTGACAAGGCATTTCCAGGTTTTCAGGTTAATATGGCTCTTCCCGGACTTTATCCAAGCTGAAGTGTCCCCCCAGGATGTGTTCTGAAGCACAACACTTTTTCCTCATTGCTATAATGATTGACCTTAGTCTTCCATCAAATATTGGTCATCCTCTATGTTGATGACTTCACTATTGCCTGTGCAGGCGCTTACTGTCAACCTCATTACAGTTTCTCTCCAGCATGCAGTCGACCTGTAGTTTCCAATTGGGCCACCACACGTGGGTTTAAAATTTTTCCAGTAACTAAAACCCACCAAATTACTTTCACTAGAACGCCTGTCATCTCCGATCATCCTTTGTACCTCTATGGTCTCCCGTATCCCTGAACGTGATACAGTCAAGTTTTCTGGGCCTCCCTCTTTGATCGTAAGGTTATCCGGAAACCTCACAATTACCTCTCCTGAAGCAACTTGTCACACCGGCTGAACCATCTTAAAACCCTCATCTTTCAGGGGGAGCTGATCGTCGAACCCATCCTTCACCTACCAATTCCACCCTTTTTTAATCGAAACTTGATTATGGTGACCAGATCTATTCAGCGGCATCTCCTGCTACTCTCTCTAGCCTTAACCCTATTCATCACCAAGGTTACTTTAGCCTTGGGCTTTTTCCGCTCCTTTCCCCAGTCCGAAAGCCTCTATGGCAAAGCGAACGTTCCATCCTTATCCGATCGCCGTGATTCCCCATTGCCTGCGCTACTAGTAACGCTCTCAGATCACCCAAATCCTTCCATTATAGAATGGTCACTGATATTATTAACATTCTTTATTTGTCGCCGCCCCTGCTTACTCCGTCCTTCCTCTCTTCGCCTTCATCGCCCTCTTGTCTTCTCTTCAACTACCACCTTTCTATGTACATGTAAGCATCTCACTTTTCCCTACCCTCCTGGAAGTTCCAGCTGTTCGAGTCTGTTCATTCTCCTCCCTTGCTCGAAAGCCCAACTGTCTACGTCGCTTCCCCTCTCTATTCTGACCACTTCACTCTCATTCACAATGCCATTGCTGTTACACAGATGGCTCTAAGCTCTGACGGCCGTAGAATCGCAGCAGTGTTTCCGGAAAGCGTCGTACAGGGCAATTACTATCTCGGCTAGTATTTTTACTGCTGAATTATATGCCAAAGCCTTACAGCACTTATCCGTAATGCATCTATGCCTGTGTCATCATTGTTGTTGTCTCAGAATCAGACTCCCTTAGTGCTTTACCAGGCTATACAAAAATTTGATACACCTCACCCTTAGTCCTCCGTATCCAACTTTGCTACGCCGACATCTTTACCAGCATAAAGATATTGTTTTTTGTTGGGTCCCTGTCCTGTTGACGTACAGGGCAATGAACAGGCAGAAACACAGCTTGTGCGTCAGCAGTACATGACCGACCAGTGTCTAAGAGGTATTCATTACGGAACTATTTTGCTGTAATATCTTCCCACCTTCACACCCGTTGGCAACAACGTTGTCTACTATGCTCGGCAACAAACATTCAGTCTATTAACCGAGTATAGTTTCTGGCCGTCTTCTTATCACCAGTGGTCGAGGTTGGGAGACTACTCTCCCCGTCTTCGCATGGCCATACACGTCTACTCATGGAATATCATCATGAGAGGCGTCTTGCTCCTTCTCAGTGAGAATTGCCAAGCTCCATTATCATCAGCCACATTCTGTTTGGACTGCCCACCCTTTAATATAACGAGCACGCAGAATTTACCTCTGACGTCGTCTTCTCGCCCCACTGCTCCTCTCTTTACCTTCCCTTCTCGCTGATGGACACCACCTTCATAATCCGGACTCTCTCATTGACTTTTGACAACGACTGACTTATCTACACAAATTCTGATACTTTCAGCCCTTTCTACTTGAATCTCTTGCTACCCTCTACCCCCGTACTATCCCCTGCCCCGCTGTTTTCTGTAACCTGCTGATCATCCCCCCTCCCTTCTGCCATCCAATTCCCTTGCTTCCTTCCCTACCCTGCAGCACTGTATAGCCCTTGTGGCTTAGCGCTTCTTTTTGATTATAATAATAATAATAACAAACTTCAATCTATTAAACCAAGTATAGGTTACTGGCCGTCTTCTTATCACCAGTGTCGAGGTTGGGAGACTACTCTCTCCCATCTTCGCATCGGCCATAATCGTCTTACTCATGGATATCTCATGGAGAGGCGCCCTGCTCCTCTCTGTGAGAATTGCCAAGCTCCATTATCAGTCAGTCACATTCTGTTGGACTGCCCACTTTACCAACGAGCACGCAGAATTTACCTCCGTCGTCGTCTTCGCTCCGCTGCTCTCTCTTTACCTTCCCTTCTCGTGATGGACCCACCTTTCATCCGGACTCTCTCATTGACTTTTTGACAACACTGACTTCACAAATTCTGATACCTTCAGCCCTTTCTACTTCAATCTCTTGCTACCCTCTACCCCCGTACTATCCCCTGCCCCGCTATTTTCTGTAACCTACTGATCATCCTCCTCCCTTCTGCCATCCAATACCCTCGCTTCCTTCACTACCCTGCAGCGCTGTATAGCCCTTGTGGCTTAGCGCTTCTTTTTTATTATAATAATAATAATAATATCCATACCTCACCTATGCTATTTGTGCTCAGGGATCAACTACAGCAACACACCTAAAGCCAATAATAACCCAACAAAAAGCCGCAGTAAGAATAATCACACCAATCCCATCCCAGGCAACACCCCCCCCCCCCCCTCTTCATAGATCTAAACTTACTCACTGTTCAGAACATCCACACTTACTACTGTGCAATCTACATTTACAGAACCTTAAATTCCAATATTAACTCTAACCTTAAATGCTTTTTTGGTAGTTGCGATAGGACCCACAGGCATAACACCAGACACAAACATCTCTATGACATTCCCCGTGTCCGACTAAGCCTTTACAAAAATTCAATATACGTCAAAGGACCTAAAATCTGGAACACCCTACTTGAAAAACTCTAGAACTGCAGACACATTCATCACTTTCAAAACTACTGTTAGAAAACATCTCCCTAATACACTCCATCAGCGAACTACATGAAAACCACCTGGTGATTCACACTTAGACTCACACATCACCAAATTGACTATAGGCACAGAAATACGAATCTTAAAATAATGAATCTTAACTAGTCATAAGTTTGCCTGTGATACTCCAATATAGAAACTATATATTGTACCAAAATAAAAGCATTCACATTGCTAAATTTACAAACTGTAATGTAGTTACTTAGCCTTAATACCAACTTGTTCCATAATCTGTAATAATTAAGAGTTATGAATTAATCTTAGCCCGAAATGCCTAGCCATGCTAGGTGTGAGAGTGGCCCCCTCTGTAATTAGTATTTTATAACATATAAACCACACAATATCCTAAAATATGTAAAGCCCTCATTGTAATTTTTATAGAGAATAAACTTGATTTGATTTGATTTGAACTAAAATTTTGGATTAAAAAACCTTAACAGATGCAAGCATGTCCAAACTGTAGGAAGCCACTCCCTCGTTGTTCTCTTTGTCTGGTACACATGGGAACACCTTCGGGGTGGGGAAGCTCAATACCTAAAAGTTCTGGTGGTGAAGATAATGCAGAAGGTGACTCCAGTACTCCCACCTCAGACACTGCTGTGAGGAGGAGAAAGCTCAGTAACTTCACATCATGGTTTACCTGGTGCCAGACATGCAGGCATGGTGGACATGCACATCATTTGATGGAATGGTTCAAGTAAGTGGGTTTTTAAACACCTTTTTTTCTTGAGATAGATGACCTAAAGAAAGAAAACACATCATTACTCTTTACTAGCTATTATAATGGAATTAATCCAGTAGTCATTCTAAATTAAACTAAAACCAGCAGAAAACATACTTAGAAAACCCTCTCTCATTCTAAGGGAAAAAAAGAAAAACATAGATGATTCAGATACTTTCTCAGCCTGTGATCTTTTCTTTCAGTAAACTGGCTGTATCCCACTGAAGCAGGGTGGCCTAAAAAGAAAAACAAAAGTTTCTCTTTTTAACTTTAGTAATGCATACAGAGAAGGGATTACTAGCCCCTCGCTCCTGGCATTTCAGTTGCCTCTTACGACATGCATGACTTATGGAGGAAGAATTCTGTTCCACTTCCCCACAGAGATAAGAGGAAATAAACCAGAGTAAGGACTAGTAAGAAAATAGAAGAAAACACAGAGGTGTGTAATTTTTTTTTTTTTTTAACAAACCGGCCGTATCCCACCAAGGCAGGTTGGCCCAAAAAGAAAAACGAAAGTTTCTCTTTTTAAATTTAGTAATTTATATAGGAGAAGGGGTTACTAGCCCTTGCTCCCAGCATTTTAGTCACCTCTTACAACATGCATGGCTTATGGAGGAAGAATTCTGTTCCACTTTCCCATGGGGATAGGAGGAAATAAACAAGAACAAGAACTAGAAAGAAAATAGAAGATAACCAAGAGGGGTGTGTATATATATGCTTGTACATGTATGTGTAGTGTGACCTAAGTGTAAGTAGAAGTAGCAAGACGTACCTGTAATCTTGCATATTTATGAGACAGACAAAAGACACCAGCAATCCTACCATCATGTAAAACAATTACAGGCTTCCATTTTACACTCACTTGGCAGGACAGTAGTACCTCCCTGGGTGGTTGCTGTCTACCAAACTACTACCTACCTCAGCCTGTGATAGCTTTTATTAATTGGAATCAGCTAGCAAGTGACAGCCCTCAAACCCAGTCCAATATTAATAATTCTCTTACAGGTCAATCCCCTAATTTCGTGTCGTTACTGCCATTCACTGCCTCAGAAGAGACTCCATAACAAAATCACTCACTTGAAGCAATCAACCTCATTTTTTCCTTTCAGGTACAGCTATTCTGTGTAGTACTGTAATTTATTATAATGTAATATTGTACTCTAGTTTATTCTTGGTAGGGTGCGTAACAATACAGCAGACTAAGTCTGCATCATTGGGCGTTTGTTAGTGTCTGGTAGTCGAATGTCTACTTCATTAAAACTTTCAACATGACAGATTTTTGCTAAAGTGGACACCCCCCACCCTCCATCTTACATAACACACACACACAGGCCTTCATATTAAACTCGTGTAGTGCACAGTGGCTTTTCAGACCTGTTAATGGAAGTGACTGTAACCACCACTTTCTGAACTCCTCAGGTTCATCAAATATTTATAACTGATCTTTTTATACTTATTGTTGCATTATGTCTAGGGCAATTATTGTTTCATAGAAATGAAGTCCTGTTAAATAATAAGTGGATAACAAACTTAGGAAATGAAAGATTGGATATCAGATTAGAGGGAGAGTGTGTGGCAGAAGTGAGAATATTCTAATATCTGTGAGTAAACTTGTTAGCAGATGGGTTTATGAAAGACTAGGTGAACCATAGAACTGGCAGGTGAGTGGTGCACTGAAGAGTCTGTGGAGACAAAGAACATTATCCATGGAAACAGAGGGGAATGTATGAGAGTATAGTGGTACCAACCAACACTCTTATATGGATGTTAAGCATGGGTGGTGAAGATTGTAACAAAGAAAAGGCTGGAGTCAGTGAAGATGTCATGTTTGACACCAATGTGTGGTGTGAATATTATGCAGAGAATCCATAGCTTGAAGATTAGAAGGAAGTGCAGGCTTACTAAAAGTATTATCCAGAAGACAAAAGGGTTTTTATGAGGATAGTGAGGCTCAAGTTAGAGTATGTAGGAAAAAGGGAAATTATTTCCCATAAAAGTAGGCCCTTTGAAAAGGATGTGTGATGTCCCTGTGGTTGTTTAATATATAAAAAATGGGTTGTAAGAGAAGTAAAGCGAGGGGCTTGGCAAAAGGTGTGAGTTAAAAATAAAGAATCACACATAAAGTGGGAGTTTCCCGTTACTCTTTTCTGAGACACGTGCTCTTGGGGGGGTTCTGAAGAAAGTTTTCAGAGAAGGTGGATAATTTGGGAGGGTGGCAAAAGAAAAAATTAAAAGTGAATACAGGAAAGAGTAAGGTTATAGGAAAACAAAAAGATTGGGGATGAAAGATTTGGGTATAGATTGGGGGGAGAGGTATGGAGGGGGTGAAAGTATTCAGATTTTGGGAGTGGACGGGTTTTACAGATGGGTCTATGAAAAGAGGTGAAAACTAAATTGATGAGGAAAAAGGGGGGCAGTGCACTTAGGATCTGGGGAGACAAAAAAACTTTGTCCTTAGAGGGAAAGAGGGGAATTATGAGAGTATAGTTTTACCCAAAGCTCCCTTTTATGGGTGTGAACATGGGGGATGAATGTTCAGCGAGGAAAGGGTGGGGGCATGGAATTCATGTCTGAGGCAATTGGGTGTGAATAAATGCAGAGAATTCTAGTTTGGAATTAGGAGGAGGTGCGGGATTACCAAATCTTTTGCCGAGGGCTGAAAAGGGTTGTTGAGTGGTTGGGACATGTAGAAGAAGGGAGTGAAACAGGCGCCCTTAAAGAGTGTATCACTGAAAGGAAGGAAGGCGGGTAGGGGGGGCCTGGGAAAAGGTTTGGAGGGGGGGGGAAAAAGGGGGTTTTTTTGTTGCGAGGGTTCGACTTCCAGCAGGCATCTGAGCGTGTTTGATAGGATGAAGGAACAAATGGTTTTTAATACTTGACGTGCTGTTGGGAGTGTGAGAAAAGTAACTTTTATGAAGGGTTCAGGAAACCGCCAGGGGGGGCTTGAGCCCCGGGAGAGGGGAAGTACATGCCTGCACTTTGAAGGGGGGGTTTAATGTTGCATTTTTAAAAACGTAGTGTAAAAAACCCTTCTGGCAAGACAGTGATGGAGTGAATGAGGTGAAAAATTTTCTTTTTTTGGGGCCCCCCTGCCTTGGTGGGAATTGGCCGTGTGATAAAAAAAAAAAAAAAGGGGGTTTTTAACCCTTTCAGGGTCCAAGGCCAAATTTCTAAGTGCACACCAGGGGCCAAGAATTTAAAAAAAAAAAAAAATTATTTTTTTTTATGAAATGGAAGAACTTTTTCTGAAGGTAAAACAAAAAGTACAAAAATTTTATGGGAAATTTGGGGAAATTATGCACTTGCAATTTTTAAAAATCACGATATTTACAAATCGTATTTTTGCCGACTTTGACCCCTTTTAGGGCCCAAAACATTTTTTCCCGTCGACCAAAATTTTTAGCTATTTCACTAGTATTACTTTATTCTATCAATTTAGCACAAAAATCCCAAGTAAAATGTTTTTAAATACAAAAAAAGTGATCAGAAATTGGAATTTGGCCAATTTAATTCAAAGTTTAAAATTTCAAATTTCAAAAGTAGGGCCAGAAAAAAAAATGTAGGTATTCCGCACTAAACTAACATTTCCTCTGTTCGTTTGTTTGTTTTTAGGCTTTAAAAAATGAATCCATTTTATTTTTTATTCACATAAGAATTTTTATTCAAACCAAGAAATAAAGATTTACTGTTATACAATATTTAATAAATGTATAAATATTATCACCACATTTGTGAATGTATATTTGACCCACCACTGGGATGTATTAGACTGTGGGTCGTTTGTTTACCTTAACATTTGCAAAAATTTAACATTTCCGTTACTTTGAGTCAGTTTCAAGCTATTTCCAGTGCTAAAACCAATCAAAAAACATTCTATTTCTGCAATATGTCTCCCCTTCTATCAAATGAGACCAAGAAATTGCAAATACAACTATAAAAAAAAATATGAAAAAGTACTGCAAAGTCGCTGTTTTAATAAAAATCACTGTCTCAGTTTTTTTCTCTCATTATACATGTGCTGCAGGATTTGTTTTATGTGGTGCACACATACCACATAGATGTATTCTCTCATATCTAGGCCAAATGTACCACTCACAGCTTATCAGAGTGAGCTGAGCTCATGGCGTAGATCTACGGTTTGGACCCTGAACGTAAAGCCGTAGATCTATGACACGAAACCCTGAAAGGGTTCATATTGGAGAAGAGAGTTATTAACCCTTTCAGGGTTGGTGCCGTACTAGTACGGCTTGCACGCCAGGGTTGGTGCCGTACTAGTATGCATAAATTCTAGCGCCTTCAAATCTAGTGAGAGAAAGCTGGTAGGCCTACATATGAAAGAATGGGTCTATGTGGTCAGTGTGCGCAGTATAAAAAAATAATGAGAAAAAAGAACTCCGACTGTGTTTTTGGTTTAAACAGCGACTTTGCAGTTGTATTTTCGTATGCTATTTATGGTTGTTTTTTGGTCTCATTTTATAGAATGGGAGACATATTATGGAACTTTAGATGATTTTGTTTGGTTTCACAATGAAAGTACGTACCTTGAAATTGAGCTCAAAGTAGCAGAAATGTTCGATTTTTGCCAAAGTTCAAAAGTAACAAAACATGCCATGCATCCAATACATGTCAACTGGTGAGACTAATATTCTTTCACAAGTGTTTACCTGGAGAGAGTTCCGGGGGTCAACGCCCCGCGGCCCGGTCTGTGACCAGGCCTCCTCCTATGATACTATTATACTGATACTATTTATACCATTTCTACAGTAATGCAGTAGCCTGCATAACAGTAAATCATCTATTTTTTGTGAGAATAAAAATTCAAAGTGGAAAGCAAAAGAAATGTAACAGAGGCCTGGGGACATGACTAATGAACAGAGAAAATGTTATTTTAGTGCCAGAATGTCTGTCTTGTTTATTCTGGACCCTATTTGGAAATTGGCATCTTTTGAAATTTGTGTGAAATTAGCAAAATTGCCAATTTCTGACCACTTTATATGGATAGTTGAAATTGGTAAATGGGTGGTTTCTTGTACTAATTTGATAGAAAAAATAGAGTTCTAGCAAAATAGTAATGATTTTGTCAATTGGTACATTGGAATTGGCCAAAAATAGGGCTCAAAGTGGGCAAAATCGCCGATGCGTAAACATCATCGAGACCCTAACTTCGCGAGAGCATAATTCCATAAGTTTTCCATCAAATTTCATACTTTTGGTGTCATTATGATCGGGAAAAGATTCTCTATCATTACTTTTTTTTTTTTTTTTTTTCAACCTTGAGAACAAGTTTAGGGAGGTCTGCCAACCTGAAAGGGTTAAATGGAGAGTTAGAGGTACGGGAAGATGGAGGGAATATTTGAGGAATTGTTAAATGTTGATGAAGATAGGGAAACTGTGATTTCGTGTATAGGGCAAGAGGAATAACATCTTATAGGAGTGAGGAAGAAACCGGTTGTGAGTGTGGGGGAAGTGCTGTGGGCAGTGAGTAGAATGAAACAGGGTAAAGCAGCTGGATTGATGGGATAAAGATAGAAATGCTAAAAGCAGGTGGGAATATAGTTTTGGATTGTTAAGTGTTTTTATTTAATACATGTATGGAAGAGGGTAAGGTACCTAGGGATTGGCAGAGAACATGCATAGTTCCTTTGTGTAAAGGCAAAGGGGACTTAAGAGAGTGGAAAAGTTATAGGGGAATAAATCTGTTGAGTATACCTGGTAATATGTATGGTAGAGTTATTATTGAAAGAATTAAGAGTAAAATGTTTGGCAGGATACAGATGAACAAGGAGGCTTTAAGAAGGGTAGGGGGTGTGTAGACCAAGTGTTTGTAGTAAACTTAAAGGCAAACAGTATTCAGATAAGGGTAAAGGGGTAAAGAGGTATTTGTGGAAAAAGCATATGATAGGATGGATAGGGGGCAATGTGGCAGATTTTACAAATGTATGGAATAAGAGTGTAGGTTTATTGAAAGCAGTGAAAAGTTTTTACGAGGATAGTGAGGCTCAGGTTAGAGTATGTAGGCGAGAGGGAGATTATTCCTCAGTAAAAAATAGGCCTTAGACAGGGATGTGTGATGTCACCATGGTTGTTCAATATATTTATAGATAGAGTTTTAGAGAAGTGAATGCTCGGGTGTTGGCAAGAGGTATGGGGTTAAAAGATCAAGAATCTAACATAGAGTGGGAGTTATCACAGTTGCTCTCTGCTGATGACACTGCTTTTGGGAGATTCTGAAAAGAAGTTGCAGAGGTTGGTTGATGAGTTTGGTAGAGTATGTAAAAGAAGGAAATTAAACGTGAATATAGGAAAGAGTAAGGTGATGAGGATAAAAAAATTAGGTAATGGAAGATTGGATATCAGATTGGAGGGAGAGTGTGGAGGAGGTGAATATTTTCAGATATTTGGGAATGACATGTCAGCAGATGAGTCTACAAAGGATGAGGTGAATCATAGAATTGACAAGGGGGGGGAAAGGTGAGTGGTGCACTGTGGAGTCTGTGGAGAAAAAGAACTTTATCCATGAAAGCAAAGAGGGAAATGTATGAGAGTATAGTTATACCAATGCTCTTGTATTGGTATGAGGCATGGGTTGTGAATGTTGCAACAAGGAGAAGGCTGAAGGCAGTGGAGATGCCATGTCTGAGAGCAATGTGTGGTGTGAATATAATGCAAAGAATCCATAGTTTTGGAGATTAGGAGGGGGTGTGGGATTACCAAAACTATTATCCAGAGGGCTGAGGAGGGGTTATTGAGATGGTTTGGACATGTAGAGAGGATGCAACAAAATAGAATGACTTTGAGAGTGTATAAATCTGCAGTGGAAGGAAGGCAGGGTAGGGGTCGGCCTAGGAAAGGTTGGAGGAAAGGGTAAAGGAGGTTTTGTGTGCGAAGGGCTTGGACTTTCATCAAGCGTGTGTGAGGATGTTAGATAGGAGCGAATGGAGACAAATGGTTTATAGACTTGATGTGCTGTTAGAGTGTAAGCAAGGTAATATTTACGAAGGGATTCAGGGAGTCCGGCACGCCGGACTTGATTTCCTGGAGATGGGAAATACAGTGCCGGCACTCTGAAGGAGGGGTGTTAATGTTGCAGTTTTATAACTGTCATGTAAGCATGCCTCTGGCAAAACAGTGATGAAGTGAATGATGAAAGTTTTTCTTTTTCTGCCTTGGTGGAAAACGGCTGATGTGTTAATAAAAAAAAATACATGATTTTTGTAACTATCCAAGTAATCCTCTTGTTTATTTTATTTTCAGGGAGCATACAGAATGTCCTGTCACCTCTTGCAACTGCAAGTGTATGTCATTAGATACGGTAAATAAAGTAGCATCCTCCTCGGTGTCTGTCATGGCCAAATAGTCATACCATTCTCATATTGGTCATGTATGTTTTGGTGCTAAATTTAATTTATGAAATATGTTGATTTATGATTATGACAAACTTATTGGAATATTGTCTTTCAACAGCACATAAAAATAAAAATAGTTGTGGTGCATGGGAAGTGAGAGATTTTAAATTAATGTAAAGAGTTAGGAGTAATCATTTTGTTTACCTTACCCAAGACATGTTAAACATTGCAGTAGACACCAGTTAATTCACAGTTTTAAACTCCTGAACTCACCATGTTTTAGACAATCATTAATTATACAGGTACTGTACTTAGACATATATAATGGAAAAGGGATTAAGGTCCTGAAACAACCTTCAACTCTCTCTCCACACTAAAGAGATCACTGTTGGGCCTAAGAAAACTAGTGATTTTATATTACTTGAATCTGTCTAGGAAACCTTTAAAAGAGGCAGTAATTATTCTGTGGCACAGAGGCCTGGTAGATTTCATTGTATTTATTCTACCTTTTAAATGTTAATCCACTGTAGAAAGGAATTCTCATAGCTTGTGTTTGTCCTCAAAGTAATCAAAACCCTTTAATTTTCTAAATAACTGGGCTTCCTCACCTCTTTACTCTGTGTTATTCCTCTTTGTTTGTTTTTTTCAAATCTGTATAGGTTTCCTTCTCTTTATGTGGTTTTGTATTGTGTGAATTCACTTAGGTTCTGATCCCATTTCCACCAGGAATTTTCTATGTGTGATATAGATCTTATGCAGTCACCAAAGCCCATCATCACTTGATTTTTTTTACACTGTAACTCCTGCCTTGGCGGGAGACAGTCGTTGAGTTGAAAAAAACTCTAAATTTCTCAAAACTGGTTTATAATATATGAGAGGGAATGATTAGAAAGAAAGAAAGAAATCAGATTTCTAAACAAGTCAGATTAGGAAATGGAAATATCCATTGAACATCTTTTGAATGAAATACAGTATGTAGTACCTTGACTTACGAGTTTAATTCGTTCTTTGACCGAGCTTGTAACTCAGTTTGCTCATATATCAAATCAGTTTTCCTCACTGAAATTAATCAAAATGCTATTAATCCATTCCAGCCCCCCCACTCCACCAAAAAAAAAAAAAAAATTTTTATGGGTTTTTAAATAAGAAAATGTATTTATAAATAAAAAATGATTTTTGCCTTTTTCTTCATGTCCCAGCAATGTTTTAGAAATGCTGGATTATATATGAAACTCCTTGAAGATGAGTGTCACTCCACTGCTGACAGTGCAGCGGTGGAGTGACATTTGATGATCGTGCACTGCCTTGGCTTTATTTTTCACTGTTACACATAAACATGTCTCTGTTTCTTTCTGTCTATCTGTCTGTTTCTGTCTGTCTAGCTCTATGTTTATCTCTGTCTCTGCTTATCTGTCTTTGTCTTCCTGTCTCTCTACTTGTCTCTCTGTCTCAGAGAGAGAGCCGCTCATGAACCAACGGGTATTACGCACAATGCAGTTGGTCATGTCTGATTCCTGAACAAGTGAAAATGTGTATTACTTGCCAGTCATGCTTATTATGCCTTATATCTACAAGCACAGTATAGCACTTCGTCTGGATTTTTTGGGTTATCCTAGGTAATTTACACTATGTATAACTGTATTTATGTGTACTTATGGGTCTGGACTAAATTGCTTCACTAAACAGGAAGTTCAAACCTAATTCGTCGGATATTTCTAATGGCTGTTGAATATCCACATTTTTAGAGATTTTAGCCATGGCTCTGGTGATCACATTAAGGGGGAATAAATCTAGCCCTGCCTCAGAAGCTTCTAATGCATAATTTATATCGCAGGGATTATCTAAAACCAGAGGCTCTTTGGGTATCTCCAATTGAACAATTTCATTCCCGATTAATAGATCTCTGCCAGCAATTGGGAAAGGTTTATCTGAAAGTCCCACATTGATCCAGCCTACATATCCAGGCAGTTCTACATAAATCCTTACAATGGGGACCTTTATTATTGTGCCTCCGTATGCCTCTAATAATACGTCCAGCCGGGGTTCGTTACTACTAGGTAACTTTACAAGGTTTGATCTTAACAAAGAGAGATAGCTGCCAGTATCTCGAAAGGTCGTGATGTTTACTAACCTCTCTTTACAGAGTCCGAACTTCCCTTTGGAAAAGTAGGGTTCCATAGCTGCTCGGACCTTTTCTTCTGAAGTACTATCGTGGTAAAGTCATCTATTAGACGGTCTGCTAGACGAGGCCTGTAAACGTAAAGATTCATCATCCAGGGTTTTATACTTCTGAGAGGAATTTATTACCTGAGTAGGATATCTCCCTCTTGGTTGGGTTTTATCTTCCCGCTGTTTATGTCAACACTGGAACTGCCTATGCCCCCAACTTATTACAAAAAAGGCACAGTGGTAATTGATCTTTAGGGTAATGCCTGGAAAAAGAGCCATTTGTCACCTGTTTTTTTTTCTGAAAACACCTTCAAAGGTTTGACAGCTGGAGCTTTCCTAGTAGTCAATCTTGAACTAAAAACCTTGGGAGGCAAATTTCTTTTCCAGGGCCTTAGCCATTTCTACGGTTATAGCATGTGAAATTTCAAAATGATCTGCGTGGGCAGCAGTATCTAACAAGTTAGTAGTAGGAAATGTCAAAAGATATGTATGAATCCTCTCCGGGAAATATTTAAAAAGGTCTTCATGTAATATCAGCTGGGAAAGTGACTCTACTGAGGAGGCTCCTGTGGCCCTACGCCAACGCTCAAAAGCCAAGAGCTTTTCTCTAGCAAAGTCCACCCAAGATTGCTGAGGATATTTCCTCAGAGTTCTAAACATCTTTAAGTAACTAACAGGTAACAGGTCATAGGCTTTCAAAAGACAATCTTTTACCTGAGTATAATCAGAATATTGTTCAAAAGGTAAGTCTGCAGTTATGGTTTGGGCTTTTCCTATTAACGATGAATGTATTAAAGCAGCCCAATATTTAGGAGGCCATTGCATCACTTTCGCCTGATTTTCGAATGCCTCAAAAAATGAATCTACATTATCTTCAGTAAATTTAGGCATTAAAGAGGCTGCTTTACTAAGGTTGAAAGAAGGGATTGTATGCTTATTACTCGATTCTCTTTTCTTTCTCAGTACTTCCCGTTCATAAAGCAAAGATTCGCGTTCAAAATTCTCCCTTTTTAGTTTTATCTGGGCTTCTACAAAGGAGGTTTGAGGCGATAAAATACGTTCCAGACGTTCGAAATTCTCCTTTGATCGAGTAGTAGTCAGAAGAGCTAAAGAGATTTGAAGTGCAACCTGTTCATCATCCAATAGGACTTTCTCTTGTTCCATTTCTAAAACATCTGTAAAGGGTTTACCTGGAACTGTTTCCTTAGCCTGATGGACTTCTGTTCCCCATTTAGTCCTTGGAGAGGGAATTGGTGTTGTTGTAGCAGCGTCATCTTTCCGAGTATCGGGAAGTTGATGTCCATCATCTCCATAGGGGCTGTTAGCGTCATAGTTCCGGCTCGGGTGTCTGTAGTAAAGAATTCAAAAGAGGAATATCTACTTCTCCGTTCTCAGTCTCTGGATCCTGCTCATCTAGAAAAAGGACATTCTGTATCATACATCTGACTGTCTGGGCAGTAAAATGCCTGTCATATTTTATGCCCAAGCTTCGTGCTAATTGCCAACAAGACTGAAGCTTCAATTTCTGTAATCTCTCCCTTGTTATTTCTTCAAACCTCTCTGCCATTTCTGCATTCATTTCAAATAACTTTCAATGGTATGCTCCTGGACACAGGCCCCCACTTGTTACACTCCATGGGTTGTAACCACTCAGTTTCCTTCTGGTTAGAGCATAACAACATTGGTCAGAGAGGTTGGGGTAATAATAGTAATCCTCCGGAAATCTTATTTTAATGAAGTATATTTATAGTGCAACATAAAGCCAATAATAATAATATACGAATTATCGTATATAAGTTAAGAATGCTTGTTTGTTATATATTGTCCGAAATATATATATACATATGTATAAGACTTTCATAACACATGATTAGGATTGAGATCCTAACACTAACATATATATACAGAGATTACTTTAGTGAATAGGGTTTTTATTTCCCAATGGGAAGCAGTCAGAATACAACAGAATAAGTCCAGGCCGGATAATCAACCTTAGCCAGTTACCAGAGACGAGCAGGAGTATTCTCGTTGGCTGCTACTTCTTCATTGCTCGTCCCTCAACCTTGAGCATACAGGTCAGGTGGGTCACGTGATGTGACTCACCCACACCTGGTAGAGTAGTTGACCAAAAGGGGGGAGAAGGGGGGGTATGACCATTGAACACCACAGCTTTAGCCATACACTAGTACACAGAGTGGCAGGCATGTTGCTATACCTTCAATTTAACTAATCATGGCCATGTACATAAATAATAATAATAAGAATAAGCCTTAATAATACAAGGACGTTCATTTCCAATTTAGCTATTAAAGGAAATGACTGCAATGTAATATTAAAGAAAGGTTAAGAATAGGGGCATGACACACACAAACATGTCTCTCTTTCTGTCTATCTGTCTGTCTGTTTCTGTCTGTCTATTTGTCTGTTTAGCTCTATGTTTATCTTTGTCTCTGCTTATCTGTCTTTGTCTTCCTGTCTCTCTGTCTCAAGAGAGAGCCGCTCATGAACCAACGGGTATTACGCACAATGCAGTGGGTTTTATGTCTGATTCCTGAACAAGTGAAAATGTGTATTACTTGCCAGCCCATGCTTATTAATGCCTTATTCTACAAGCACAGTATAGCATTTTGGGTCTGGTTTTTTTGGGGTTATCCAGGTAATTTACACTATTTTAACTGTATTTATGTGTCCCCTGGGGAGATAGAGATAGACAGAGACAGAGATAGAGGCACAGAGACATAAGGCAGAGATAGATACAGACAGACTGAAGGAGATACAGACAGCCAAAGCAAATCAGCCACCAATCAGCCACTGGCCAACCACCTGGCCACCCATCCAGCCGGGCCTGCCGAACATGTATTACACGTTCCAGAATTGGTTTCTCTTTTCTTAGGGCATACATTATAAAAACATTCTAGCAAGATGACACTACCAGTGGTATCAAAATTGAAAGGATTTTTACACATTGGTTATTATCGAGGTTTTTGATATTTCCTCTCTCCTGTGAGTGGCAGCATATCTGAAGCTTGCTCAAACTCCCGGGTTTTGGCTCACCCGCTCAAGTAAAAAATCGACCGAGCAGTGGCTCGTAACTCCCGGGAAAAATCGTAAGTTGGGGCACTCATAAGTCAAGGTACCCACGTACATGGTTGATTTTTCAACCTGAGTGTCTTGCACCTAGTCCAAAGAATATGGACACCGACCATACTAAGCTGGGGGTTTTGCAGGGACAAAGTCAGGACTAGGAGTGGAGAAGGGTAGGAAAGAGTAGTAGCGATTTTGTATGTACACGTTCATAATGTGTACACTTCAGACCAGATGAAGACAGGCTAGTTAGTTGGTGGTGGAGGGAGGGTAAAAAGGAGGATTAAAAATAAATTTAGGATTTTAAATTTTTTTTCATTATTTCATGACCAGGTTCATTTATTTTTGGTATATGGCTATTTGGACCCTATAAAGGGTTTAAAATAAGTAAAGAATTGTGGGATGTTTTTTTCCAGTATTGTATTGTCCGACATACTTTTTTTTTTTCCTTCAAATGACCATTTGAAACATGTGTGATAAAACAACAATTTTTTTTTTTGGTAAGCATTAGTCTTCTTTCATATGGACACAATATTGATGGTTCTTCCCCTGGGGAGAGGAAGGATTTGTGTAAGATAGAGCAGTGAAAAAAGATTGTGGGTAGACAGG